ACATCACAAGTAGATGTTGATATAGAAATAGAGGAGATCCACGCTAGACATCGGCGTGACCACCGTGACTGCCGTGAGTCACGGTCATGACTATTTTTTGAAAAAAGTAGTGCCCGTGACCAAAACCTGGTCACCATCAGTCTCAATAAGTTTTCAATGTAGCTATAAGACAGGTATTTTCAAACTTCATTAGAGAATTACATATCATATTTAGTACTCTTTCAATATGTATCAATATTCTTTTCTACTTGTGCTGACTAGAAACGAAGAAATGGAATCAATACAATCATCATACCAGGAAAAAAATACCCAGTTTTCCGATATTTTAAGCAGTTCTCATAAAAACACTTTAGAGAAAATTTGTTGAAAAATATTATCGTTTTCTTGAACAAGAATAATACAATTTTCATATATTTTCACTTTTCTGACTTTTACTAGACGAATCACTTGATGGTTGATCATTTTTCCATCTCTTCTGATTTCGCTCATTTCCATTCATGCTTTGGTCAAATAAAGTTTCAAGAACTGTAAGATTTTTTTCTCAGAAACATCAATTAGACAATTTTTTTCATATCTAATTCTGTTCATTTATCTGTTTCATTACCTCTCGTTCGTTCGCACGAGAAGACCCAAGGTTTTTTATTGTATCCAACGACAAAAATTTTCCAGAGAGTCTTCTTATGTGTCTTTTTCGTTTTTACAGTTTTTAAACAAAAAAGGTTCTGTAGAAAGCCAAAGCTATTTCGAGACTTTGAGAAGGAATTTTTAGGATGTTAACAGTCTAGATAAAATGTTGAAAGCACTGAGTTATGTTTTTCAGCTCAAAGTTCTGAAAACTAGGCATATTTTGGTGAAAACTCAGTAATTGAAGTTGTCATTTTTCGAACAATTAATTAATTAATGAGGTCCTATGCTAAGTCTCGCACATATTTTCTTCACAGGGATCTTCTATTATGAAATTATTCTAATATAGGGATTTTCTATTAGGAGAGAAGGGTATGTTATTGTGAGAAATTGAAAATAGACGTTCCCATAGAGATTGGCGTGAATACCGTGACCGTGACGTGGCCGTGACCAAAAAATATTGGTCACGCCGATGTCTAGTGTGGATGTGGATAAATGGATTAGGACAACCACACCCCCACCCATAGGCTCTATATAAAATCAATGTACGATCAAATAAAAACTCATTTCATAAGAATGAAACCCATATGATTTAGCTTGTAATAATATAATTAGATATCGTCAGTCATTGATAGAAAAGACAAAAATAGTCATAATCAAATGCCCACTTTTTATTTTCACATGTTCAAGAAATAGAGTTTGAACACTTATAAATTCACACCATTAAAATGCATCAATCGGTATCTAAGGAGAGAAACACAGAACTATGAATATTTTGAACAATAGGATCAAACCACGACGCTCTTTTTACAAGATTGATTATGATCAAACCGTTGGATCAATAATAAGAGACTCACACATATTTTTTCTATTCTTTATCATGTTTCGTGATTAGAGACTTGCGTGACCATTATTTTTTAGTCGCGGTCACGACATAGTCATGGACTACTTAGTCACGGTCACGGTCACGGTGACTGTGACCATAGATGAAACCAATCTAGTTTTTTGACGATCGATACCGATATCCGTTTGACTACATCAGAGCGGATCGGAGCGGCTGGTATACCCGTAAAATGCTGATCTACTGGTAAAAAAAACTAACAGTCAAGCAAAATACTCGTAGACCGGCAATTATAGGTATACTAGCCCGTCTAAAATTCTGATCAGCTAGCCGTCGGTACCTGTTTCATCTATAGCCGTGACGATTGTGTAAATCTGTAATGACCACAATTATGGCAAAGGAAAAACTGATGATGCTTTTTGAAGAATCTAATAATGATTGTAATGGCATTCTGAAAAAAGTTAAAGCTACTGAAGAAGGTGAATATGATTAGTTAAGCTTCTCCCACTCGAAAAGAGTCAACTCTCGCCAAAAAAGTCGAAATTCAGATAAATGAATAGAAAGATAGCCTATCTTCAGCTCTTTCATAAACGATAAAAATTTTTACTCAACATTTCTTTTTTCCAAAAACTTTTCAAGATTTCTATCGACGCCTATTCGAAAAATTAGTGGTTTTTAAAAAAACAAAACATCTTTTTCATTTTTCCTCTGTTTATGATTTGTCGATCTTCTGGCTAGGAATTCTCGGTTCACACCCTGTCAATACATTTAAATTTTTTTGTTTGAAAGAGCACGTTGAGATGCATTATAGCACACAGCCCTTTTTAAATTAAGCTTTGTTTCTTATTATATATACATACATACACATCCATTTTTGGCGGCTTTTTTTCAGTCCTTGAACTCCTGATCCCTTTCTTCCGCTAAAAACGTAAGAATTCAAAAAAATGGACTCTCTGGTGTCCTGCATCCTGAGATACTCTTTCAAACAAAAAAGAAATCAAATATATTGACAGAGTCTGAACCGAGAAATCTCTGTCGCAAAATGAGCTACTTTTGATCCTTGGTTGGTGCATCAACTTGAGGATCTCGAGCTGAAAATTTTACCAAAGCCTTCTCACTTCAGCCCCAACATATGCTCGAAATCTCAACCCATTTCAACATACCTGAGCTGGGATCGATTGTGGACTGGGAGCGGGGCCTTAAATGATAATTATGAAAACGGAAAGCAAATTGAGAAGTATTACTGTAATTTCTATTAATCTTTCTTATTGTTTTTATCGCGTTGTCTTTTGCTGTTGAGTTTAATCTAGATTTAATATTAAATGAAAACACAATCAACACACAGATTTTTTTAAAATTTTCCAAAATTGATCACGGTCACGCGTGACCGTGACCGTGACCATTTTTCAGGTCTCTATTCGTGATGCAAAACCATTTCCTTAAGTGAGAATTACGTCAGAATTCATCAGATGCATTTCGCTCGAAGACAGACTTATCTTAGTGTTATTTATGTCATTTTGTGCAATACTGAGCAACATTTGCTTAAGCAGAAACATTCTATTTGAACTAGGATAGCATTCTTTGAAATAGATAGTATTGCTTTGTTTCAAATTCCAGTTAATTTTTCAAACATTGTTTCGATACTAATGTTGATTGGGCGTGAGTTTTTCCTTGTTTTTTTCCTTCCCAACTGACATGATATTGTTTGTGGTAAATCTACCAAAAAGAAGTATTGTTTTTGATATCGACAGTGCCAAGTAGAACTTATACCAACGATATCGTCCTCTATTTGTTAAGGTACTTCAAAATCACATTATGCTGCATCCAATACCAAACCAAGTATTACTACAGTGTGGGAACATGTAGCAGCAACAGTAGCGACGTCTATTTCCACATCAAAATCTCAAAATGTTTCAAAACGAGGTATGTTGCTTTGCATACGGCTAAAATCTTACTTCAAAAAAAAATTTCATCGTTCCTATCATTTGATTTCTGCACTGTGATTGACTATTTTTGCTTGTCGCATATCAATCAACATCGTAACGAATCAGTTCTCTTTTATAAACAGCACATATCGGGTGTGAGTGTGGGTGTCGATAAAAGGAGCACCTACACTCACACCCCACATCCCATATTTCACACCCGATACCCACATCCACACCCATACCCACCTACACCTCTTTAAATTTCATAAAAATGACTTCCAATTTCAAAAGATTTCTTTAGAATAATTAATGGATTTCTAAAGTTCTCTAGCAAAAAATGTGGTACGCAAGACTATAGAGAACTTATAGGCGCACTTTTCTTTTATCGTCCATAATGACAAATAATGACATAGCGTACTGTTGTACGTTCACTCGATGAGACGTCTCAACCTTTTTGTCAATAATTGCCAACTACTCTCTCTCTTGTAAGTCGTAGATCTCGAACACAGAACAATGGCAAAAAACGTTTTTTTCGTTTCCCAATCGATAGTTTTGAAATGGCAATTCCGGTTACCAATAGAAAGGTAAAGGGTTGAGCGCAAATTAGGCGTCAACTTCTAGATGCATAACATAGTTTTCTCTGACAATCACCAAAGACTTCCAAGTGTAATAATTCTATAATTAATATTCATAACGATGATTGAAATTGAGGTTTACAAGGAAGTACTGTTCTCATATGCTTTTAAAATAATACAATAATAGAATATTATATGTGGCACTATCTAGGTTTTAACATGATCATTTAAACTTTAAGTACCCGTTAAGTGTCAAATTTCTAACAAATGTCTCAAAAAATCTGAGCTTCTTTGCTCCTCGAAGATTCTAATACAATGACTTCACGCTCATTCTCATCAGAATCTATCACAAATTTCTAGAACTTTCTCTGCCTTAAAATTCATATATCTCTATTTTTCTCTACATAGAGAAAGCAGATAGGATCAACATTGGTCTGCTCAATATCTCAATTGCACAAAGTATCACATTTCAAAGATATACTTTAATCTTCTCAGAAGTTTTTCAGTTTACGATTTTCACATAGTTCATTCTTTTTAAGTGCATAAAGATTCAGAATTCTCGCAATTTCAAATAGCATCTCAAGATCTCTATGTTTTTCGATCGAAAGCTTCCATTGCATAAACATTGCCCTTTCTCAGAGAATGTCCTTACAGCAGTCTTCAAATGCAGTTTTTAACTTCAAAAAGATCGTGATAAGAATTATTACGAAATCTATTGTTTTTATAGAAAACTACGAAAAGACTTACGAATTTTTCTCTGCGAGAAAAAACATTCTCGGCAATTTTATCTAATTCCTTTCCAAGAAGACAAATGTCTCCTTCATAGCTCTTTCCTCCTCGTGCGAGAGAAAGGGAAATATCTTCGATAACAACGACGATTCATTTTCTTTTTCGTTCATTGTAGTAATTCCGAATATTCCAGCTGGTGCTCGATGGAAACAGAATGGTACCTTTGTTGCTGGAGGCCATAGAATAGGCAATGGCTTCAATCAACTCCACTCTCCTCATGGTCTCTTCGTTGATGACGATCAAACGATGGTCATCGCCGACTGCGACAATCATCGTATCGTTCAATGGAAGATGGGTGATAAGAATGGACAAATTGTAGCTGGTGGCAATGGCCGAGGAAATCGATTGAAACAATTGAATTGTCCAATTGATGTATTGGTCGACAAAGAGACGAATAGTCTCATTATTTGTGATTTGTGGAATCAACGAGTCGTACTATGGTCTCGCCGTAGTGGCACAACTCAAGGAGAAAGTCTCATCAACAACCTCAGTTGTTATGGATTGGCCATAGATGATCAGAGATATCTCTACATATCTGACTACAAAAAACATGAAGTAAGACGATATCAAATAGGTCACGAGAATGGAACTATTGTGGCTGGTGACAATGGCATAGATAATGGTCTCAATCAACTCAACTCTCCGACCTACATCTTTGTCGATCAACAACAGACTGTCTACGTGTCAGACTCCTCGAATAATCGTGTAATGAAATGGAATAAAGGTGCAAAGGAGGGAATTGTCGTTGCTGGAGGTCAAGGCAAAGGGAAGGCTCTAACACAATTGTCGAATCCTAGCGGAGTGTTCGTTGATACGTCGGGTACCATCTATGTGGCAGATTCGGGGAATGCTCGAGTGATGCGTTGGCTTAAAGGAGCGAAACAGGGCGCTGTCATTGTGGGTGAAAATGATCGAAAAGAAGGAACAAATCAATTCAACCATCTCGGAGGTTTGTCCTTCGATCGACATGGCAATCTCTATGTTGTCGATACTTGGAATAATCGTGTTCAACGTTTTTCAATCGAATAAACCCATTAAGATGGATTTTTTCCTTCCTTTGCTTTTCAAATAAATCACGCTGAATTGATGAAAGCAATGCTTATTCTATTCACGCACGCGCGCGAGCAAAAACCAACCTGGTGGCACCGTCACGAGTGTAGCGCTCATGCACGGGACAGACTCATATCCTTCCCTAGAGAAATATGTCAACGACTCTGACTAAGCTCAGTCGTATGCCAGGGACACCAAGATAGTTACTAGTCGGGTTTTTAGGGCCTACTCGGAAGGCCTGGAAGATAACAGAGATCTAACATCAATGGACACGACTCCCCCCCCCACTAACACTCACTATACTAAGGCTCACTCTGACCTCCCCTCAGTCTTATCTAAAAAAAAAGAAAAAAAAATGACTCACATATTTTGGCGTTGAACGATGATAAAGACGATACGATGATGTTGACGACTAAAAGGAAAAGAAAAACAAATTATTAATTGAAGATAAATGTATCGAAAAGAAAAGAATAACTTACCCCACTGTTATCTATTTCGTTGATTTATCAATACCTGAAATAGAAAAAAAAACAAATGGGTTAAAAAGATCAAAGGAGGTCTTGCCATCCTCCATATGACCGAAAAAAAAGAAAAAGAAAAAAAAATGGAAACTTATACCTATATATTTTTTATTGTATTGTATTGTTTAGTTTTGCATTGTTGAAACCACACTAAAATATAAAAAGAAACGATTATTATGTGATTCAATAAATTGAATGATTCCCTCAAAGAAAATCATTCATATTTATACCCTCAACAAGGTTAGGGAGAGAAAAATTCAGAGTGTATGTGGGTTGTAAGTGTGGGTGGGTGTGGATGCCGGGGGTATGTCAATAGAAGAGATCCTCTCACTCACACCCCACCTTTACGCTAAAATAATGGAAGTGATTCATACCTTTAACAAGGAAAAATGAATCTTCGTTTTTATGCTTATATTAAGGTAATTTTATTTCATTGAATAGATAATGTAAAAAATGAATGTTATTTCAAATAGATTCTTAAGTATAAGACTGAATTAAGTAAACAACATTTAGCTGAACTTAATGGTACGACTTATTCAACGTTTACTTAAATATATATCAACAGCACATAGTGATTATCAATTATTAATTGATTCATTGGATTAATAGTGTTGATAATTGTCGAGTAAGAAAATGATTCCGACAGTATTAACTATGTTTTGTTTTTGTTAAATTTTAGTCAGAGTTCCTTGCTGCACATCGTGGCTATATAGAAAGAATTTCAAGTTATTAAACTTTCACAAGAATTAACAATAACTCGAACATATTTAACTATTTCTTATCTCAGGTTGTCTTGAGGACATGTGAAAAACACCCGGTATGAAAACATACAAACAGATCGCACCTATTCAATTAAGGGATATCCAAAGTTTATTTGATACTAATCCATTATCATTAACGATTGATAGTAAAATTGTTGTTTGTTTTTGCTTTGTTTGGAACTCATATTATGTTTTATTTTTCGAAGAAAAGAAGTGAGTGTAAGTTCTAGAGATATATGGGAGGAAAAGGCGACTATAACGTTTCGACTAAATGACCGGATATATCTAGATTTGTAAAGGAAGACTTTCTCTACCCAATGGTGCATTCATTTTTAAATTCTGTTGCGTACCGTGAAAGGTTGAATTTTAGCTCTTTTCTATAGATTTTGACTATTGTGTACCTAGTACTAGCATGAAAACCGTTTGACTGAAGCCAAAGCTCATTGTCTCACGGTACGCAAGAGAATTCGACAATATAAACATCATTGGATAGAGAAAGTCTTCCTCTACAAACCTACATGTAGCCTGTTGTTTAGTCAAAAATTACTGTGAAAATTAAAGTCGCCTTTGGAAGTTTGCCGGATCGGTACTCATCATAATGTCATTAGAATTATTTCATATTTTTCGTGGCATATTGATGGTGATCGTTTAGAAATACGGTCATTATAGACTTTTGTCTTCAGAGTAGCAACTATGAGAGATCAGATCCTTTACTCAACGAGTTCCACCGACAACTATTAGAAAATCAATTGTCCCAACTGTAACTAAAGATTATAGTTAAATATTCTATGACTTAAAGCGTATAAATCAGGGGTGCAGAATCTACTCGTGTGCGCCGACGTTCGTTAGGGGAAATTTTTCAAATTTTTTAGCAGTCAGAGAAATTTTCGAAATCAGTCTTGATTTACCTGTATACATATTAGTAAAACCATGTAACAGTCGTTTTTCTCTTTCTGATTAAACTTTCAAAAATTTTCATTTGTTATGTTGCAACACATATAACATAAGACAGGTGTAGCTCAATCACAAAAATTTCGAAGTTTAAAAACAAAGATACAATTATACTTTTTCAAAACAAATTAGATGTACGGGAGTTTCCTCAATGATTGTTTTAGTCATACAAAAGATCAACAATGACTATTTTACAAAAAAAGAGAACAATATCGAATCTGGAAACTTGTTTCTATTGATTCAATTATTTTCCATCGTTTACACAAAGTAAATTTAGCAAGATTACTTAAAACAAACGATATTGAATAATAGTATTGCTTGTTTAATGTGAATTTGTAATTTATTAAACAGTAGTAGCTTTTCTGAGTAAATATTTCAATCCAGAAAAGTCGGTATTTAATTGACTCTCATATCTCAAGAAATTTTTCGAAAACAATTTATCGTCGGGGGAAATTGATTGTTTTACCGGCAGATTCTGCACCCCTGGTATAAATAAGAAAACCGAATATTGCAGAAGTTTTTAGATGTGATAATATTCATTGCTGAAATAATTTTCTCTACACCGAAACCTACACTCATACCCTATTCAGGGGATGATAAAGAAAATTCATCCAAAAGAAATAAAGAGACTCAAGGATTAAAAAAAAATGAAAATCATAGTAATTTTGAAAGCAAAAACGAGTAAAATTTAATTTCTCGTGCATTCCTCATAGTCTGGTAGAAGATTTTCATTTTAGGTATTTTGTATGAGTATAACGAGACTAAAAAACATATGTGAGCATTATATTTTAGTCCTTAACGAGCTACACTGACTCAATATTTGTTATTTAAATTAAATTATTTGTTATGAAAGAAACTGAACAATTGGGAATACTTTGTTCAATTGACGGTCAAACATGGCAAGTTGCATTTCGTTTTATTAATGAAAATATAAACACTACGTAATAGTCATAGTTCAAAAGGGTGTGGGTGGGTGTGGGTGTGGTTTATAGGTGTTGATCTACTTTTCATCTGCATACCCACACCCATCCACAGCAGTGGACGATAGGACCATCGATGGAGAAATCGTTCCCATTTCAGTAGAAATCCATCACCCCACATGAAGCCATATCCAACAAGGTGAAATCGAAAAAAATATCAAGCTGCACCCATCTATTACTTTCAAGTAAATCGTTTTACCCAAAAAAATCTTCCATTTGTGCTGTATAAAATAGTATTTTCAACAAACTGTCCTAAAGAAAACAACAAATATTGTTGATTTCTGCGTCTGCGTGTATAATGAATAAGTTTTGTCAATTTCTCTTTTTGTATTATACATTTTTGCTAGAGAGGGTAGATTTCGTTCATTCATTTGTCTTAGAAAATGTTCGATGTCTACTGTATAAAATCGCTTTCTGCTAGAAACTCTTGTAAAGAGAAAATATTATTCATTTCTGCATGTATAATGAATAGGTTTTATCTATTTCTTCTTATGTGTCATACATTTCTCCTGGAGAGAATAGAAATCGTTCATGGATTTCTACTAGAAGGCTTTGTGTGAATGTTATATGCTGATGTTTTTCTGCATACAAACGTTTCTGCTCGACTTTGTTTGGAGGGAACGATTTCTTGATTCGGAGGACTTCGTCCAGCTCTCCACTCCCACACTCACATCCTGATTATCATTTTATTTTTTTTACTTATTGTGCAATTTAATGCTAACAACAAGAAAAGGTACATCTAGTTATTCTTCGTTTTCGAGTCTACATCAGATATTTTGCTATCATTCAATTCTTTCATCGATCCTGATAGCTTTTATAATCATAAGTCAAAAGAGTATCACGTAAGATCAAGAAATGATCATTATATTTTAAGTCACAATCAGTCTAATGACAACATAGATATAATGAAATTATTTTCATTAAAAATATTGATATTTTTGTTGTTCTTATTTTAATTTTATCATAGCTCGGAGTACATTAATCTAATAACACTCTTGATGCATTAGTAACCTGTAGCTCATATCAAGTACAATATGACATGACCATATTTTATTTGACTTTCTTTTTTTGCGAGATTTATTAATTTTAAGAAATTTGTTCACATGAACATGTATAAAAACTCTCGCACTCTGCATTCACACTGCTTAAAATTTATTAGCTTATTATGTTTCATTAAAACGTAAATAAAACATATAACTTCCTAATCGTATGATACAATCAAGCCAATAATTTCAGAATTTTATATCACTAACAACGAATAAACACGATGTTTTTGGAAAACCAAAATATTCTCAGAAAAACTTTGCGTAGAAACTTTTGTGGTATGAACAATCCTTAAAAAACTCTCCATTTTGTTTTCAGTCAGGTTGCTTAAATTTCGTGTCTTTTCAAATGAAGAAACATTCAGTAAGAATCTATATTCTTTCTTTTACTTTTTTGTTAAACATCAGCAATAATTTTTCTAATAACTCATCTGAAAAAAAACTGCTGAGGTTAAAAGTTTCTAGACATTAAGAATAACTCAAAATAGACTTAATATTTGAAATAGACTCTAGGAGAAGCCAATGCTTGGAGATACGTGAATTTTTATTCTGTGATATTGCGCCTCCAACGATAGAAATAGTTTATATAGACACAACATGTGCATTTGATTTAATTCAATAGAAAAGTTTATTTCTTCAATTCTTTGATTTATTTAGATAATTAAAACAACTTCGTATCATTCTTAAATCGATAATAAATATCCTAGTTTGTCAGATACTACTAAATTCAAACAATATTTAAGTGTACCAAGTATCTTTGTTGCAGAATTTCACTGTTTTAAATCTTCATTTTGCAATCAGATTTTGATGAGCATGACCTAATTTATATTATAGGTTCGATTGGGTGTGGGTGTGGGTGTGGGTGAATTAAAGAGCAACACCGACACACATCCACACCCACACCCCACCCACACCCCACCCACACCCCACCCACACCCACACCCACCTTTACCATGACATGAGATTTAAACGTTCATGTTTTGTTTTTGTAAAAAAAAAAGAACTTTGTTTATCATCTGACTATTTATTAAGATTAGAAATTTAACAAGAACTGAAGAATATTATAATATTTCACCATACACCATCGATTTGGTAATGGTTTTCATAAGTACAAGCTTGAGATTGTAAGCGGATGAAACACATACTCATTTCAACAAAAATCTATCAAAATTAAAATTTCACAAACATTTGATAATAAAAATAGCAATAACAAGGGGAAGAGTTTCATCAAATATTCATTCAAATAGAAAAACTTGCACAATAAATTTAATAGTTAGAAAACTATTTTGCAGTTGTTGCTGAGGGCACCTCGTGATCTTTATCTTCTGCACACTCATTCAGAGAGTATTGCTGCAATTGTTTTGTTCTGTGTATTGATTGCATGCGGTATCTTTATCTTTTTCTCTATCTCGCTACACAGTAAAACAACGAATAACATTGCAGAGAGAGAAAAAAAAACATAAGGTATATGTGATGATGTTCAAGGTTACGAACAGTCAGTGTGTATAATGTTCGAAGTGAAACGTGTTGATGATTACAGCACTAAATCAAGCGCTATTGCCGAAGGAAACTTTGTAGTTGATCAAGTTGGTCATATCGTGCTCGTCATTATCACTCCTGTCACCATTTTAGTCAACGGTTCTTGATTTAATGAATTTTTCACAAATATCCTCTGTCATATAGGCAAAATTTACTACGTTGTTGTCTTCTTGCGCTTGCCTGTGTTCGATGGTCAAATTGGTAAAAACAGATTTCAATTAAAAAACGTGCACAACAATATAATGACGGTCACAATAACTCATGTAAATCACGATAATCATCTTGTTCATTTAGACCAAGAACACAATGAATTGATTATAGACTAGCAAATACTACTAGATGATTCTCAGCTATTGGTCACTGTGGTCAATGAAAACAAATTCAGAGAAAAAGAATAAGATTACATGGAGACTTGAGATCAAATAAATGCTACGTCCCATTTCCTTGTGAAAATTGACAAGACGAAAAATGCTTCAATTGATAGACATCATAATAAAAAAGGTCTTGGCTCGGTCATATTCAACTATCTTGTAGAAACGTCAATCAATTGAAGGCACAAGTGGCACCCCAAAAGATCATTCTGTTTGATGTGCAGAATAAAATGAATTGGAACAATGGCCAAATCAAAACTTGAGAAAAAGCTAGATTTTGAGTTTATTTCAGAGATGGGCAATCGAATAGCATGTTTTTATGGCGAATAAAATAGTGTCCGCTCGCGATAAATATCGCCTCAAGAGAACTACGGTGTGGGTGTAAGTACTGTTCTTATTCACATCAACACCCGCACCTTCTTTCTGTTATGTAGTTTTCTTTTTTGAATTTTTATTTTGACGTCTCCTCATTGTTGCCACTTCTCATTTTGGCTTTTTCTGTCTGTTCTTGCAGGGCACCCATTTTCTTTACTTTTCTTTACTACGTGCATCAAAGAAAAGAAGAAAGAAATTAAACGTAATAAAGTTCTCACAATTTACTCTTTTTTTTCTATACTCCATGCAGAGAACGACAAAACGATATCTTTTGATTTCTATTTGACTCACAAGTAAGGTGGCACTAGCACACGGTGATTTTTGTTTTTTTTTGAATTACATTAGAACAAATATGTTTGTAGCTGGAAGTGAGATGTCAAGGTTTAAACGAACTTGTGTACTGTCGCTCAAAATTTGAAAAGCAGATATTTGGATTTTTTTTGTTTCATGGAGTCTGCTTCTGACGTAATGGAGACAAAAATGGTAGAAAAAAAAATCAATTTCAAATATAACTAGAAAAAGAAGAAACGATTATTTTTAACTGTGAACAACTCTACAAGAGCGACAGTTGATACTTAGACAACTTTTAACATACATGGGCATCAACTTTCTTTCCATTTTAGGTAAATATAGATTCTATGGATCAAACTACCCTTATCGAGGACATAATAAGCACGAAAAATACTCTGACAATTCTCCATCAAGTTTATGTTGTAAATCAAATCGTACTTCAACCATTCTCAATCATCTTCGATTCAATTACAGAACTGATCGATATTTTAACTCATGCATCCACTGAAAAAATTGAAATTGGCTTACCATCAAATGAATCCAAGTCTCTTTTCAGCAAACTTAGAGACACACTTAATGAATTAAGCGATGCTATTACAACTACGAATACTTCAGTAATCAATACGTTGAATGAACAGCTTAGATCTTCTGTTCAAAAACTTCGAATATGTTTATCTTATACAGCTAATCACGAAGAAACGGCAGATGACATATTCAAGAAGAAACTTTTGCAGTCACGTATCCTTGCAACAATTGAATCTCAGTGTGACTATTTAGAAGCATTGCCTTCGCAAGCCATTTCCCGTTTTGAACATGACACTGTGACTAAAGCTCCTATTTATTCCAAACCCGAAAAGCAAAAAGAAAATACATCTAATAACGATCCTTTTGGACATTTTCGTTTCGCACGTCGACGACGTATTTCTGCTTCTGATGAAGATATAGACACTGCTACATCTGATTCACCTCGAACAACTTCACCACCTCCACAATCGCCCACTATTTCTAATTCAGCCAATGAACAGATGTCATTTCGTCCTACTAAAATACCTCGAGAGAAGACTCGATTAATGATTAGTTATAACCATGCTTCCAAATCAATTTGCATTGATATTTACAATAGCTTGACAAGTGCTGGCTATAACGTATGGATCGACTTCAAACACATGCACGGAAGTACTCTAGTTGCAATGGCACAAGCTATTGAAGACTCAGATATAATTCTCTTCTGTGTAACCGAAAAGTATAGTCAATCGCCTAATTGTCAAAAAGAAGCTGAATATGCATTTGTTCGACAAAAGATTATGATTCCACTGCTTTTACAGTCGAATTATAAACCGACAGGTTGGTTAGGACTTCTCATGGGTACCAGTTTATATATTGACTTTACGAAGAATGAATTTGCTCAGAATTATTCAAAGCTGAAAAGTGAAATTGAAGCGAATGAATTGCGTATAACTAGCAATAAAAATGACGTTCCGAGATTAACATTAGATTCAACTGCAAATAAGAAACAAATTCACAAAGAAACTGATAGTCCTCGACTGCAATTAACAACAGTAAAGCCAGATTTGGTTGTAAAGAAGTCGCGTAGTTGTGTTCTCTTTTAGTTAAGATGTACGTTTTTCTTGCCTACCAAAATTGAACCTATCGAGAGTAGACGTATAATAGACAAGTCAAAGAAACTTGACTTTTTGGGGTATGGATGTGGGGTGGATATCAGTATCTCTTCTTCTCTCACGCATCCACATCCACCCACGTTTTTTTCGCGCCATTGTGTACGTGTTTCACGTTTTTCAAATATGAAATCAAGCTTTCTCGATGACATTGTCATATTTAAAAAACTGAAAGCCTAATACAACGTGTCAATTTTATTCTATTCATAATCATAGAAACTCAACTATATTTTCATAGTTATATAACAAAAATGATTCTATTTTAAATTTGAACTAGCATAAATTCTGAGAATTATTTTGTCAGAGCTTTCAAGCTGACAAATCAACATATCAGTCTTCGCTAACTTCGGAAGAAAGCATAACTGCAACAGAAATGTACAAAAGATTTTATTTTTATATCAAAAAAAAAAATGTTTTTTTGATTTTAATATCGGATGCTCGCAAAGCTATTTCATCCAATATCTATATCATGTCAAAGTAAAATTGAGAGGAACCTGCGGTTCCTCCACCGCTCAGAGCCATCGAGAATGAAACTGTATACTTATTACCGACTGATGCTGTGAATGATTGACCGAGAAAGGTGATCGTAGCAGAGCAACCATCTTGAAAGCAATTGCCACTTGATGAGTAGCAACTGCTACCAGTAAGTATAACTGTTAGAGATGTGGTACACGAACATCCAAATCTTTCCCAACCTACCAGTGTGCTTGTCGAGTTATCAAAACCACCATTAATGAGCAATTGAGTATTAGACTCATTAATACTTACTACTGATACCGCATCTAGAAGATACCGACGATTACTTGGACTCATAAATCCAAAAAGAAGCATAGGTGATGTAGTAGTTGCTGTATAGTTATATCTAAACTGAGCCCATGCATCTGAATTCGTTCCCGGTTCACTGAAAATAGTTCCACGACCAGTCGTTGTGCAGTTGATTGCTGTAAAATTAAAAAGAGTGAATGATCAAGATGAAATCATGTATACATACTCCTCTGTGTAGTTGTTGTTGTCGTGGTCGTTATCGATGTTGTTGTTGTTGTTGCGGATGTAGTTGTAGCAGTTGTTGCCGTTGTTGTTGTGGTTGTGGTTGAAGTTGAACTAGTAGTGGTTGTTGTTGTTGTTGTTTCGGAGGTACTGCTAGTACTTGAAGTACTGGTTGTAGTTGTCTCAGATGTTGTGGTGGTTGTTGAAGTAGTGGTTGCTGTGGATGTCGTTGTCGTGGTTTCCGATGTTGTACTGCTAGTTGAACTTGTGCTAGTTGATGTTGTGGTAGTTGTTTCGGATGTCGTAGTGGTTGTTGAAGTAGAGCTGGTTGAGGATGTCGTTGTTGTGGTCTCCGACGTTGTACTACTAGTTGAACTTGTACTAGTTGATGTTGTGGTAGTTGTCTCAGATGTTGTGGTGGTTGTTGAAGTAGTACTTGTGGTGGATGTCGTTGTTGTGGTGTCCGATGTTGTGCTACTAGTTGAACTTGTACTAGTTGATGTTGTTGTAGTTGTTTCGGATGTTGTGCTGGTTGTCGAAGTAGTACTTGTGGTGGATGTCGTTGTTGTGGTCTCGGATGTAGTGCTAGTAGTCGAGGTAGAGCTGGTTGTGGATGTTGTTGTTGTTGTCTCTGATGTTGTGCTTGTGCTCGAACTAGTGCTAGTGGATGTTGTAGTAGTTGTCTCTGACGTAGTGCTAGTAGTTGAAGTGGAACTAGTGCTAGTTGTTGAAGTCGAACTAGTGCTACTGGTTGATGTAGAACTAGTACTGGATGTTGTTGTTGTTGTCGTTGATGTTGTGCTAGTAGTTGAAGTTGTTGAAGTTGTGGATGTTGTTGATGTGGTAGTAGTTGATGTGGTACTTGTAGTAGAAGTAGTACCGATGAGGTGAAAACCGATTATATTTATTCGTTTTCATGATTATTTGATTCTAAATAGCTATAAATCTACTATACGAAAAGTATATTTCCGGAACTTTCAAGACACATCTTCTTTTTTGAACTCATGATTTGTTTAGTTCATGATTGTCGATTTATTATGGCTGTTTTATTGTCTCAAAGAGTATTTCTCTATTGACTACATTTCGAAACATGAGTATTATTTTTAAACTATAAACGACGGAAGACGAAATCAAATTTATATAACCAAAATAGCAAAAACTCTAAATTGTTTCACTCTCATGCCTCAACGATCGTAAGTCCGAATGAGCTGAAGTTTTGTTCACTCCTATACTAGACATTGTTTGAAATATGACTTTTTTTATTTCAGAAAATAATAATCTGTTGACGTTTGAGACCTGTTACATAAAAAGGACTATTTAAGAGAACATGTGTTTATTAAGATTCTTTCGATATTTTAACTTTTTTATTTGAAGGACAAAAGATAAAAAGAAATCAAGAAAAGTACCCATTATAAACAATGTTTGTTATCTGTAAAAGAAAAGAAAAGTTTCAACTTGATCATACGTAACATATTGAAGAAACGCGAGCAAAAACGGAAGTCATGTTGTTGAATTGAGATCCAAATATCTCATAGAAAACAACAATCAAAAACTTTGAGCCGATGAAAAGTTTTGTTTTACATACTAAAAGCGATCTGCTCTACAAATTTTAAAGTTTTCTGATAAGCACTTCCTGAGAAATCCTAAAAAGATGGTGAAGAACTCGTCAATTGAAATTTCACTGTTTATAAGTAATTCGGGCATATAAATCTTTGGTTGAACTCTCGGAAGAATAGAGCAGTTTATTTTTTGTAAAATATATGGTACTAGTTTTTCATATGTTGTCTTATTGATAAGAAAACAACTCATAGTGATGCAAAATTTTGGGTCTCATGTTTTACTGATAAATAGTAAATCTATAGATGACGAAAACCTAAGAGTATATAAATTCATGATGGGATTCAACTGCTCATGTTAACAAATTCGAATTTGTTTACAGTTGTATCCCATCTTTATTTATTATTTCAGATAATTGTACAAGATTATAAAGAAAATCGTATGAATGATTATAGTCTCAAATCTCTTACATTAATAATTACAATAAGTTGCAATATGATCAATCAGTAGGATTTCGTACGATCAGAAGAATTCATTTCGTATCCTTTCTATTGATAGATCAAAAAATATACAGTAAAACCTCCAAAATATGAGCAATATGTGTTGTATAATTGGTACGTAGAATGAGAAAAGAACGAATTTTTTGTCTCTTTTATTAAAAATAAACAAGAGACAC